GCCTGGCTATTTTTTGGTTGCAGCCATCATTGTTGTTTGGCGGGTCCGGGCTGGGGATTCAAACCCGCCACCTTAGGTGTACATGGCTGGTGCCTTAGCCAGTTGAGCTATAGGCGCCGAGCCATTAACTGTTAATCTTAAACAAGACTCTATCCAACCTGTACTTGAGCACCCCAGCAATCTGGAAATCACTCACCCCTCCCATGACCATCAATTGTTACAACTGATTATTAGTAAATGTGTTCTTATGTATAGTCAACAGCTGCTTCCTAAGATGCTGTGGCATTATGTCCACAGGCTCCCTAGACAGAAGTCATGGCTGAACTATGCCATATGATGGTCAGCACTGCTCCTGTTAAGCCCAGGTACTGCAGGAAGCACTACACATCTGAATCACTGTCAATTCTTCCCACAAAGCCAGACCCTTCTGCCATTCATTCTCACTAGAAAAATTAATTCCACATGGTACTTTGAATTTCTTCACGTCACTCTCTTCTAAATCAGATATTATACCTGTTCATCTGACTGACACAAACTGGGTCACATGACCGGGACCTGAATGCAAGAGAAACTTGAGCAGCAGTTTGTGGATTCTACCATAGGCAGGAAAGAATTTTAACTGGGAATTCCTCTAATACAAGAACAGTGCTCAAAAGACATTAAGGAATGACATATAGGACAACTGTCTACCACAATCCATCAATCTTCTCTTACAAGAACAGTGCTCAAAAGACATTAAGGAATGACATATAGGACAACTGTCTACCACAATCCATCAATATGCACTCTTTCTCCATACTTAAACTTCCTAAAAACAAAAATTCTCCCTTGAACATAATTCTCACTGTCTTGTAAACAAAAGGAAATGAGGCTTGACTCCCCAGAATGGTAATAACCCAGCCTCATCAGGCGCTGCTTTCAGCCCCTAGTCCTGTAGCTGTAGATGATTCCATTACACCTCTAGTTTAGCCACACTCCCAACGTGATATTCTGTAGATCCCCAACTTGAAAACCGCAGACTAGACAAAGTAAAGTTCACTACCAACATACTACCTGCAAAATAGCAGAAGAGGAGAAGAAGGAAAGCTCTTAAAAGACTTCGTACACAAACACATTTGACAAAGCAAGGAAGACAATATGAGCGGATAGCGCCATCAGCATTTCTGAATTGCTCCCCTCCCTGGAGCTGTACATATTCCATTTCCCTACCCTCATCCAGGCAGCTGAAACAAAACTTAAGTCTCAGTGGATTTGAACCTTGAAGCTTTGGAACTATCTCATACTAGCCCTGGACTTCCTGCTTGTCAATTCCTCATCCCATGAATGAAAAATTGAACCCCTTCACTTGTATAAGGGATTCTCTGCTTTTTCGTCTAACCGACGCAGGGCCACAGGATAAGATCCTCCATCTCCAGGGTCTCCTCTGTTCTGCCAGTGGTAGAAAGCCGGTAGAAGGAAGGTTGCCGACTCTAGCAAATAAAAATACAGGACTCCCAGTTAAATTCTAATTTCAGAAAAAAACAATTTTTTTACTATAAGTATGTCTCATTCCTTATTTGAGAGACACACTAAAGGATGATTTGTCCTTCTGAAATACAAATTTAACTGGGTATCCTATATTTTACCTGGTAACCCTAAGAAGGGAAGAAAGTAGCACAGGGACTCCTGAGATTTCCAGATGTAAAATAGTAGGAACGTACTATAAATGTCTTATTCTCCTCAGCTGCTGCCAAGGTGCTGGGTCCTTCTGAGGAACTAAGGGCACATTGGGGAGAGGCCCTCAACTTCGTTTTGCAACTAGCACCTTGCCTGATGGCACCTTCCCAATCCTCGCCCACACCCTGGTCTCTGTCTCCAAGTTCACCTGTATCTACTCAGACTTTATTCTGCATGACACTGAGGAGACCATACCAGGAGATAAGATCCATGCCAGTGACTGGTGTAAATATTGAACCTTTTTGGCCTGGATTGTTTTCAAAGGCCCTGGCCAATATCAACATTGGGAGCCTCATCTGCAGTGTAAAGGCTGGTGGACCTGCTCCAGCAGCCGGTGCCGCACCAGCAGGAGATCCTGCCCCCCCCCACTGCTACTGCCCCAGCTGAGGAGGAGAAAGTGGGAGCAAAGAAAGAAGAGTCTGAGAAGTCTGATGACGACATGGGCTTTGGTCTTTTTAACTAAATCTCTTTTATAACATGTTCAATGTTCAATAAAAAGTTGAACTCTTAAAAAAAAGTCTTATTGTAGACAGGGTCATAGCTATAAATAGAACTTAGGAAATTAAGCTAAAAGCAATAGAAAACCCAGCCAGTATATACTAAGGAATAGATCATCCCAGTCACAGGCCCAAGCTGAGAATAAGGGCATAGTGGAATGATGTGGAAAAGGCATTTATCCCCTGCCCATTTCCATCTCTGAAATAAATGCCTTAAAAATCTCCAAAAGAAATGACACTCCATCATGTTGGCCAGGTCTTTCCTGGACTCCCTTCTCCAAATCCAGAGAAAGCAATAGATATATGCATGAAATCCAGTTTGGTAGTTATGAGCTACGGGATCTTGATCATGTTAATGTGTCTGTCTGCATCTCAAAAGTGACAATAATGGCATTTCCCAAGGTTGATATAAAAAGAGCAAAACCTGGCTCAGTGCCTATGGCTCAAGCGGCTAAGGCGTCAGCCACATACACCTGAGCTGGCGGGTTCAAATCCAACCCGGGCCCGCCAAACAACAATGACAGCTGCAACCAAAAAATAGCTGGGCATTGTAGCAGGTGCCTGTGGTCCTAGCTTCTTGGGAGGCAGAGGCAAGAGACTCGCTTGAGCCCAGGAGTTGGAGGTTCCTGTGAGCTGTGATGACACAGCACTCTACCCAAGGGCAATAGCTTGAGGCTCTGTCTCCAAAAAAAGAGCAAAACCTTTATTATTATAATAAAGCATTATAATAATATATCTAAGAGTTGTGACAATAAGTGATGTGCATAAACTCTCAGAAAATGCTGATTCCAGTCCCATTTGCTCTTGTCATCATGTGTATAAAGTCCTGTCCTAGGGTCTATTCCCTTCCCCCATCTACCCTCCTTGGATCTTTCTTCTGTCAATGAACATTTGTGTCAAAGGAAGAGAGAGATCCAGATCAATGTTTTTCAAACTTCAGTATTATCCATGGAGTGGGGTATTGCTTGGGTTTTAACATGGAATGGAATGGAAACTAACAAGGAGCATTGCACATGATTTGAATAAATATTGTTTCCTGAAACTTTTGATTCATTTGCACATGTGGGTGTGTGTGCTTATGTTCTCAAACATACATTTGTACGTGCATTGGTCATTTTGCAAAATGCATTTCCCAGGGTCATAGCCGTAAAACTATTCATGTTTCTGAATGCCTAAAGACTCTCCCAGCTCAGCGCCTGTAGCTCAGCAGCTAGGGCGCCAGCCACATACACCTGAGCTGACAAGTTCAAATCCAGCCTAGGCCTGCCAAACGACAGGAACAACTTCAACCAAAAAATAGCCGACTGTTGTAGCAGGCACTTGTAGTCCCAGCTACTTGGCAGGCTGAGGCAAGAGAATCACTTAAACCCAAGAGTTTGAGGTTGCTGTGAGCTGTGACACCATAGCACTCTACCCAAGGTGCCAGTTTGAGACTGTCTGAAAAAAAAAAAAAAAGACTCACCCCAACCCATGTTTCTTATGGGCCTTTAATTAGCTTTCTTAACTAGAAGACACATGGTCCCCACATTTCCCACCTCCCCCCTAGATATGGCTGCATGGTTGAGGGCTCATTCTGGGAGCTAGAACTAGAGAGTTTGGGCCTCAACTTCCGCTCTAGCAAACCAGAGAATGATTGTGGGGGAATCTCTGATGAGAAAAATACCCAACTTAGAGTGAGAGAAGAAAATATTACCACACAGTTCCTGTGGTTACAAGCCCAGCCCCTCCAGAGTCTTCTGGGAGATATAAAACCCCAGACTGGAAAGTAAAACCAGGACCTACCCAGGAAGCCTTTCTGGAAAGATGCATCACCTTCCTCTCTTGCCACTGCTCTTGCTCCTGTGCTCCAGAGCTGAGGCTGGTGAGTATTGGGGTCCTTGCCTCTGTAGTCTGCAGGATCAGCTCTTAAAACAAAAGATACCTTGTCTGAAAATAGCTGACTCTTGAACAGGGTCCCAAAATCTGTCTTCAAGAGTCCCAAAATGAAGTTTGCACCCATTCTTCGCAGCCTATGGTAGGTCCCAGAAGCAAGGAATCCTACACTGATTGGGCAAAAGCCCAGAGCAAACGGGAAGAAGAGGGATATCTCCAGGAAAATGGGCGTGTTCTCTTAAACTTCTGGGCTTCAGGGCTACAGACTGCCTTGTGATTTTGTCCTTCTGTGGCTCCACTCATAGGGTATGGGGAAAGCAAGCCAGGAAGCTGGACAGCTTGTGCCACATGGAGAGAGAGGAGGGTGGGCCAAGGCAGGCTAGGAGTGGGAGGAATCTGAGTGAAAACCGTCTGAATGGCAATCAAGGCAGGGGTAGGGCTGTTGTGCCATGATGAAGGAATGTGAATTCCTGTGGGAGGTTATGGGTGGGGAAAGCAGATACAAGAAACATGAAGGGAAGATGAGCAGAACTAAGAGTGAGGATGAGGTTCAAGGGAGGCCTCTCTCAGCCTTAACCCAACTTGCTCATTCTCGAGAGAGAGAACGAGTGCCTGCCTTCAAACCCCGCGGTTCTCTGTTCCAGGGGAGATCATCGGGGGCACTGAGTGCAAGCCGCACTCCCGCCCCTATATGGCATACCTGGAAATTGCCAGTCGCCATGGTTTCCTGCTATCTTGCGGTGGTTTTCTGATAAGACGGGACTTTGTGCTCACAGCTGCTCACTGTGCAGGAAGGTGAGACAACAGGGTTCTTTTATCCCCAAATGGGAGAAAAACAACCAGAGTAGCAACAAGGGATACACCTGCGTTGGAACCTGAAGATGAGATCCTGGGCCTACGTCAGCTTTCCTGAGAGGCAAGGCTTGGGCTTAAAAAAATTCCTCTCATGACTGAATGGCAAGGCACGGTGGCTCATACCTGTAATCCTAGTACTATGAGAGGCCAAGGCAGGTGGATTGCCTGAGCTCAGGAGTTCAAGACCAGCCTGAGTTAGAATGAGACCCAGTCTCTAAAAAATAGCCAGGCATTGTGCTGGGCACTTGTAGTACCAGCTACTCAGGAGGCTAAGGGAAGACGATCACTTGAGCCCAAGAGTTTGAGGTTGCAGTGAGCTACAATGCCACGGCACTCTACCGAGGGCAATGTGAGACTCTGTCTCAAAAAAAAAAAATTGTTCTCATGACTGAATGGGTGCCCTGAGCCTCAGTCATGGTGAGCTCAGCACCCTTTCAGAGGAAAAGGAGGCCCTGATCAAATACCCCACTAAAGTACCCCACTCACTCTTCCCCAACACATAAGACATGCGACTTACTTTTCAAGGCCCCATCCAGTTCTCAAGCCCACTTCTTCAAAGCCTCATCAAGAACATTGGCCTTTATAGGTTCCTTAACTCATCCTTTCTATGGGGTACAGAGAACAGGGCCCACTCTAGACATCCCCACACATTTTCCCCATGCCTCTGATACCTCCACATCAGGGGGCTGGCCCTCATCTAGGGCTCCCTGACTTAGGAAGTGAACCCTGTCCCCTGAGTCCTCTGTAGGCTGCTCATTCCTCAGTAATTCTAGAGACTCCTGGATATCATGTCTGTTCCCTGAAAAAACTCTTCCCTGAGCAAATCTGAGTCCCCAAATGCCACAGCAACGTAAGAAAGGGGAGATGGGTAGTCCAGTGAGAGGCTCCAGTCCCCTTTTCTCAGAATGGGTACATCTTGGGACAAACCCCAAGCCATCATTGCTTCTCCTTGTTCTTCTCTCTTCCTCACTACAGGTCTATAAAGGTCACCCTTGGAGCACATAACATAGAAGAGAAAGAAGACACGTGGCAGGAGCTGGAGGTTATAAAGCAATTCCCTCATCCAAAATATGACGACTCTCTTTTGCACAATGACATCATGTTACTGAAGGTGACGTCTTCCTTTCCCCTGTCTACTCCTGTTCTCCTAAGCTTCTTCTCCAGATCACCATTGCACTGAAGTTTTGGTAGCACTTGCTCTAACATGAAGCAATTTGCTCTGTCCCGCCACCCCTATAGCCTCCAACTGCCTCAGGGTCCATTTATAAGGCTAACAGCCCTCATTCCCTTCACAGTTGAAGGAGAAAGCCAACTTGACCCTAGCCGTGGGCCCACTCCCCCTCCCACCCCAGTTCTACTTTGTCCCACCTGGGAGAATGTGCCGGGTGGTTGGCTGGGGAAGAACGGGTGTCATAAAGCCGGGCTCAGACACTCTGCAAGAGGTGAAGCAGAGACTCATGGATCCCTGGGCCTGCAGCCACTACAGCGACTTCAAGCACAAACTCCAGCTGTGCGTGGGCAATCCCAAGAAGATTAACTCCGCGTATAAGGTGAGCCTCCAACCAAGGTTCCTCTCCACAAATCACTCTATAGGAGACAGAGAACAGGGTCCACTTTAGACATCCCCACATATTTTGGTCACTGTTCAGGGACCAGAATTCTCCTGGAAGGAGATGGGGTCTTGTCAGCCAGCATCAGGGTTTGAGATCACAGGACTGAGAAAACTGGCATTGTCCATCCTCCCATGGCCCAGGACAGTGTCTAACCATTCATTCCCATCTGCTGTGCAGGGTGGATGGGGTGACATGAAGAAAGTGGGGAGGTTGCCCCAGATATATACCTGGTCTAGTCAGACGTGTAACCTGAGAAGCCAGTGCTCCTGGGTCTGACTATGACCCTGAGCTGGGACCCAAGGGCAGGAGACCAGGACTTCCCTGGATCACTTTGTGTTCTCTCTGCCCCACAGGGAGACTCTGGGGGCCCTCTTCTGTGTGCTGGGGTGGCCCAGGGCATTGTGTCCTATGGACGGCATAACGCCCAGCCCCCTGCTGTCTTCACCCGGATCTCTCCCTACCGGCCCTGGATCAACAAGATCCTGAAGTCAAATTAACCCTGGAGCCTGGGCCAGTAAGAGAGGCTATCTGGAGTTGGACCCAAGCAGGGGAGTTTCTTTGTGCCATTCATTCTGGCCTGCCTCTCAGTCCCTGGCCACGTCTCTGAGGCTCCACCAGGTTCCCTTAGGTCGTAGAACTCTCAATAAAGACCCAGCATGCAGTCACAAGCATGTGCTGACTACCTGGAATTCTCTTCTTCTTAACACAGTGATCTGATTCCCAGCCCAAGCACCTACAAGATTTGGAAGAAGTGTGTGTGTGTGCGTGTGTGTGTGTGTGTGCACGCGCGTGCGCATGCACATGCTTCTGTGTGTGTAAGAGAGACAGAGACAGAGAAACAGACACACACAAAAAAACAGAAAAGAGACAATGAAGAAAAACTAGGGAAAGAAATAAGAGAGAAGGCTGCAGGCCTCAGGATCCATGAGTCCTGCAAAGGCAGGATCCCTATTTCTAGCTCAAAAAAGAAAATAAATCAGATCCTTCCTTCCCTTAATCATCAACCCTATACCAATTCTGACTGATCTTTAGTAATATTCAGAATCACTAAGAACATTGTGAATATCAAACAAGTTGTAGGATGTCAAGAGGATCCCTGGCCTCTTTCTACTAGATGCCAGTAGCAACACCACATGTTCTGTGATGTTCAAGATATCTCCAGGCATTGCTTCATGTCTCCAGGCGGGGTGAGGCAGGGAAGGGTGACAGAGGGTAAGTTCACCCTGGGTTGAACACCCCTGGTTTAGATATCTGATAGAAAAAAAGGCAGTTGGTGCCACACAGGGAGCTCCTCAAGATCCACTTTGATAAGAGAATATCTTCCATCTGTGAAGCTTTCATCTGAGCTACAGGACAGATTGCCTCTCACTCACTCATTGCTACAAAACAGATAACAAACAGTAGCAGATTGTGGGACAGGCAGCACCACAAGTCTGCATGAGCAACACCCATGCACAACGGTTTCTCCCAAACCAGCAGAAAGCCAAAGTCTAGAGACTTCTCAGCATAAGCTGTTGCTGCAGGAGGGAAAACAGGACAACCAGAGACAGGCCTATAGCAGCTTGAAGCAGACCGTGCCCCTTTGAGCAGGTGAACTATTGCTAGAAGTTTGTCTTTAAGACATAATCAGGCAGGGCTCGTGGCTCACTCCTATAATCCTCTCACTGGGAGGCTGAAGCAGGTAGATTGCTTGAGCTCAGGAGTTCAAGACCAGTCTGAGCAAGAGTGAGACCCTGACTCTACTAAAAATGGAAAAAACTAGCCAGGCATGATTGTGTACACTGGTAGTCCCAGCTACTGGGGAGGCTGAGGCAAGGATTGCTCAAGCCCAAGAGTTTGAGGTTTCTGTGAGCTATGACAGTACAGCACTCTACCAAGAGCAACAGAGTGAAATTCTGGCTAAAAAAAATTAAAAAGAATCAGAGATATACACACAGACTCATGCGTAAGGATTTTAATCTCAACATTCTTAATAATACTGGAATCCCTGACAAGGAACAAAGTTGAAGTGGTAAATTTATGTGATTGAATCTTTTGAATTCATTTGTTTACAAAAATGCAGTACTTATATATAGAAAAATTAAATGTGCCATAATGCTTTTAAAAATAGTAGTGGGCTCCACACCTGTAGCTCAAATGGCTAAGGCACCAACCACGGACACCAGAGCTGACGGGTTTAAATCCAGCCTGGGCCTGCCAGACAACAATGACAACTACAACCAAAAATAGCCAAGCATTGTGGTGGGAACCTATAGTCCCAGCTACTTGGGAGGCTGAGGCAAGAGACTCACTTAAGCCCAGGAGTTGGAGGTTGCTGTTAGCTGCGATGCCACGGCACTCTACCCAGGGTGACAGCTTAAGGCCTGTAATCCTAGCACTCTGGGAGTCCAAGGCAGGTAGATTGCTTGAGCTCAAAAGTTTGAGACGAGTCTGAGCAATAGTGAGACCCCCCCTCTCTACTAAAAATAAAAAAAAACAGAGCAAGCAGATCACTGAGCCTAAGAACTTGAAGTTGCTGTGAGCTATAATGTCACATCACTCCAGTCAGGGTGCCAGAGTGAGACTCTGTCTCAAAAAATAAATAAATAAATAAATAGATAAATAAATAATAAAAACAATAGGAAGGGCGGCCCCTGTGGCTCAAAAGAGTAGGGCGCTGGCCCCATATGCTGGAGGTGGCAGGTTCAAACCCAGCCCCAGCCAAAAAAAAAAAAAATAGGAAAATCTGCTGATAGTAGAATCTCTATTTTTTAATAAATGTTTTACATATGTATAGGAAAAACCTTTAATTAGGTCAAAATAATTATGATAGTCATCTCCAGAATGGGATTAATAGCCATCTAATTGTTTCATGCTGGCTTTAACCTCATGTATCTGACTCTTGGGGACACAGTATCACATATGGCTCCACAGGATAAGCACATATGCATATACTCATCTTCAGATCCCACTGGACAAGAGTTGCGAGGGGAGTAGGCATCCTTACATTTCCATATCGCTGACTCAGCCCATTCCGGAAGCCCATAGGGACGCCAAGCCTCCCGTCTTCCGTGGGGCCAGTGTGCCAACATGGCACTCTCCTTGTCGATTAGTGTCATGCATGGGGTTCTATGGTCTTTAGCAAAGGTGGTGGTGGCCAAGGATTTATGGCCACGGAAATGGTGGTCCAGGCTGGTCTCAAACTACTGAGCTCAAGTAATCCTTCTACCTCAGCCTTCCAAGTAGCTGGGATTAAAGGGGTCTCTGCCACCATATCCTATTTTCAGCTTTGAAATACTCAAAAACAAAAATTGCCTTTCATGTCCATTTTCTTAAAACTTGCAAGAAGCTAGCCATGACAAAACGAGGTGCAGAAGAAGAAAAGATAACTATGCGATGGAGAACTAGGGTCCACTGACAAGAAGAGAAGTCCCAGGGAAGTACCTGGCCCTCTCTCTGCAAAATTTAATAACTGGGGCGGATGCTCAAGCCAAGGCCAGCTATCATGGGGTGGCACAGAGGAGAGAAGGGTTAATTCTGCCAAGGGAAACAGGATGCTAGCTCCAAATCCTGGGGTTCAATAGCTGTTGATAACGTGTGAAAAAGTGCTTCTCTGTCTGTTTTTGTTTGTTTGTTTGTTTGTTTGTTTGTTTTTGAGAAGGAGCTCAAGCTGTCACCTCAGGTAGAGTGTCCCTGGCATCCCAGCTCACAGCAACCTCCAACTCCTGGGCTCAAGTGAGTCTCCTGCCTCCGCCTCCCAAGCAGCTGGGACTACAGGTGCCCACCACAACGCCCGGCTATTTTTTGGTTGCAGCCATCATTGTTGTTTGGTGGGCTCGAGCTAAATTCGAACCCACCAGCTCAGGTTTATATGGCTGGCGCCTTAGCTGCTTGAGCAACAGGTACCAAGCCGCAGCTCTCTGTCTTAAATACTCATGGCTGTGAGAGAAAATCTGACTTCCTAAAACCACAGCTTCAAGGGACAGGCCCAGAGTCACTTTGGTTTGTCAGACCCTAGACACCACCGTATTCTCATGCCAGCCACGAACATCAGTCTTTCCTCTTCATTCTGGAGTGTACAGTGTCCAGGATCCAGAATGCCAGCCCAAGGCCCTCTAGCAATAGTCCACACACACCCAGTACCCCTGGAAGCTTCTCTGATGTCCTAAGACTCTGGTCTACAGAACAGGCTTCCCCTGGTCTTTACTACTTTCTCTAGCTGCATGGCTTTTCTGGAAAGTGGAAGGCCTGGAAGAAAGCCGTCCTCTTCCGGGCTCTTAGTCCTAGAAAGTGAGAGAAGCAAGGTGAGCCAGTATCTGTCTTCCTAAGCCGCTAGAACAGGAGGCCACTCGGAGGCTCCAAAGCTCACCCAACCCAGCAGCTGGAGCAAAGGGGAAGGAGGCTTTCCACATCAGCCATCTGCATCGGCCAAGGAAAAGGTAGTGGGCAAACGCTGAAGTGTGCCTGAAAATAAAAATTCTTCCTCCTCTCAGGGAAGTGCCATGGACATATTTTTACTGCCCCAAGACACAAAGTAACCCTTGGGAGCTCTAGAACTAGATTGCACCCACAAGTACCAAGAAGGAGAAATTTAGAGATGAGAGTTGGACATCCTCCAGTGGCACTGAGCTGTACAGATGGTCCCCTCTAAGCCAGACTGTGGCCTTTATATACCTATTGCAAGGGAGATCGTTCAAGAGACTCCTTGGGAGGGATATGAGAGAAGGAGGAGGAGGAGCCAGGACTAGACCTCTGGGGCGGACAAGGCCTGTCTGAAAGCCCACTCTGAGGGCCCAGGAGGCTAAAGCGCATAGGCGGCTAGGCTGGGACCACGGCACCTGTAGGAGCTTCAGGAGTCAGGGTTCAGCCTCTGGTCACATCCCCACTTAACCTCAGAGAGGAGCTCTGGGCCCTGCTCCCATCCCCTGTCAGGCCTCCACCTGACTTCCCTTGGTAGAGGAGCAGAGCGCTGTCTCAGTCTCAGCACCCACCTCGTGACCCAGCCACATTCTGTGGAGTTAGAAGAAATAAATCGTATTGATTTGTCCCTAGCACAGGGACACAAACGTTGAGTGCCACAGGCTCAATATTCAACCTGTCACAGATCACTGTCTATGAGACTATGATGTTACCACCCCAGAAAGAGCACAGCTTGTCCAAAATCTGTTTGGAAAAAAAAATTGTAATAACCTTCTGTTGAATAAATTATAAGACGTGGCTCGGCACCTGTGGCTCAAGCAGCTAAGGCACCAGCCACATACACCTAAGGTGGCGGGTTCGAATCCCCAGCCCGGGCCCACCAAACAACAATGATGGCTGCAACCAAAAAATGGCCAGGAGTTGTGGTGGGCGCCTGTGGTCCCAGCTACTTGGGAGGCTGAGGCAGGAGACTCGCTTGAGCCCAGGAGTTGGAGGTTGCTGTGACCATGATGCCATGGCACTCTACCCAGGGGGATAGCTTGAGGCTCCGTCTCAAAAAAAAAAAAAAAAAATTATAAGACGTGATGGTGCGCCATGTGCAGAATTTTAAAACTTTATGTATACTATCTCATTTAATCCTGGAATCA